GACATATGAAAGTTGAAAAATGTTCAACTTTTGTCGCTGTCACTTAACGTACAACCAATCAGCGAGGGTTTCATTGACTGACCAATGAGAGGAGAGTATGCTACATACTGCCGTTAGCTAACACTTTCACCAAGTGATTACTAAAAAGCTTTGTGGGATTTTATTGGCACCAGGGTGAAGTTTATGGTAAGTTTTTCCTCATAAAACTGTATCTTGATGTGTGTTTGCTTTTCAATATCATTAGCATCGCAAGATTTGTTTAGTTTACACGTCCGTAATGCACACCCCCCTTCAGAGTCAAGAACCAATCAAATTTTGTGAAGACAAGCGATCTGAGCGCAATTCGCAACGCTGCGATCGCTATCGCTTCCCGTGTGTCGGGTTTCACCATGGCTGCGATGACAGCCGTTAATTGCTGTAGTTTGTCGCTCTCCGTGTGTCGAGCCCTTTACAGACTGAAATGATCAGAAAGTATAAAATATAAAACTGAATCTAATATTCAATTAATCAGCTACAAAATTTCTTCAATATCTCCCACAAAGAAACACTGCAGACAAAAATCAACGTGTGATGACCAAATGTATTTGCAACTTCACATTCATTGAAACAGATGATTTAAAAAAATTTGCACAGCAACTATTTGTCAGACAGGTTTTTGGTTACCATTGCGACCCTAATGAGCCATTAGCAGCAGCTTTAATGTTTATTTTGATCTTATGGTAAATGGTAAATGGTACTGAACTTATAGAGCGCTTTTCAAGTCCCTCCGGACCCCAAAGCGCTTTACACTAACAGACATTCACCCATTCACACTCACATTCATACACTGATGATGGCAAACTACACTGTGGCCACAGCTGCCCTGGGGCACGCTGACAGAAGCAGGGCTGCCATGCACCAGCGCCACCGGACCCTCTGACCACCATCAGTCGGCAAGGTGGGTGAAGTGTCTTGCCCAAGGACACAACGACTGAGACGGCTGGATGGGGGATTGAACCAGCGACCTTCCGGTTCCAGGACGACTCCCCTAACCACTCCGTCACAGCCGCCCCATCTTATCTTATACTCCTTATATGGTTCATGCTACCAATTTGTCCACATTTGAACATTATAAAAGTAAACCCTAAATTTTTATTGAGCTTTATAGAAGAAAGGCAATGTATGTTGGAATTTGGGGCTGTAGCTGCACATGCACCCCTGAAAAATTCCACTACGATTTTCTAATTGTCGTTATAGTGTGTGAAAAAATTGGATAAATGACTAATCAGTCAAATATACATTTGTCAGACATAATTTTTTGACTAAATCAAACAGTTTAATCAAACAGATTAATCTTCTTCCTTTTACTAAAAGACTTCCTCTTAATGTCCCTCTTAAGAAGGGAGTTCCCACCACTGCACGGTTTTCCTCCCCTGCCGGTGTTTTTGGACAGTGTAATGTGGCACAAGAGCACTGAAAAACCTTTCTCGGGCTTCATCCGATACTGCTGTGACTCTATGGGCCAGGATCCACACACAGCTCAAACAAGGAGCTAGTCTTTCTGTAGGAAAGGTTGAGGCCCACTGATGTGATTTATCAGAACATAAATGATTTATTGTGTTTAACAGCAAAGATGCTCCCCAAGATCTGACTGGTCAGGAAGGTGGGGCAGGGAAAGGGAGAACAAAGTGTGCATGTCGTCGTGAATCCAATGTCATGGAGAGCATCCATCTGTTGTACTTTTTATTTCTACTCATTCACACGCACGCACACACACACACACACACACACACACACATACACACACACACTCACACACACATGTTCTTTTGGAAGCTCGGGAGAGAAAAGACAGAGCTCTGTTTTGATGCCAGAGCTTGGGCTCAGGTCAAGACTCAGTTCGCTGTAATCCCTCTCAGGTGATGCTGTTCACATTCTGCTATTTCCAGCTGATCTGCTTAAATATGCTGTCCTCCTAACCCCCTAAAAAAGACTCTGCCTCTGCTCAACCAGCAACAAGTTTCTGAAACACAGAAAAACAAAAGTCCACCCTTTCAAAATATAAATTGTGACCAATTCTGTGTTCATATTCCATTTTTCAGACGGAATACGAACACAGGACTAAGATCACCTGGATTAGAGGGGCATCATGAGAGAAGGCTGACGAGCCATCCGCGGGAATCCACCCCCCCCCCCACCCCCCCAAAATGCAAGAATAGTAAGGCTGGTTTGAAAGCAGTTTCTTGGAGCATTCCTTCTTGTCCCTCTCAGACACTTAATCATCTTATAATATTGCACCAAAGTACTGGGTTCCAACATTAACACTTATACACCCACAAACCTACAAACCTGGGACTTTGAGCTTTCAGCACAGAGGCCTGTTTTCCAGGGCTTAGAAAAAAAAGAAGACACTCTGTCTGAGTAACATAACAGCCTCAGAAGAGCTTAAAATTGACTTCATTCAACCAAAAACAGCACCTTATTTTCAAATATTGTTTTTAGCATCAATTTAAAATGAAGAAGAAATGCAAAACAATAAAAATATTTTTCCAAACAAGCTTTTTGGTATACCTAAAAAAAAAAGAGCCACAAATGAAGTTTATTTTTGTGATTTTATGCTTAAAAAATAACTTTCACCAGCAGCACATCATGACATTCATTTCTGATCTCACTTCCTGCATCCTGGTATTTAGCACAAGGGTTTCATCTAGTCACTCTGTCCTTCAAACACCAAACACATCTGGAATTGCAGCTGAGTAACAGACTGCACAGCTGAATATGATCCGAAACATGCTAAAGCCTGCTGGGAATTCAAATTTGTGATTTCTTGCCAAATGGGGAAGGATAAGCGGTATCACAGGGCAACTTTTCACCACTCTTGACTGGTATTACCTATTCATTACCTGTTAAAACTCTCAGGGCCCCGCTGTGTGGAGCCCTGTTCCTTCAGGCAGCGCTGATACTCAGCCTTGATTTTATGTAGTCAGCAGGTGGCATCATTAGCCAGAGAATAAAAATGAGACGTAATATCCCTGTGTCTTGCAATGATATCATAGCAGGGCTCATTGGCATCGTTTTCCTGTTACTAATGGGCAGGATAAGGGGTAAGGAGGTGTAAATTTAATACGTTTTGTCATCTGTTTCACATTTTAAAACAAGAACATTACCACAGCCAAATGGGTTGTTGGATCATGCCATGCTGTGTGCAAGCAAAACAAGATCGGCCCAGAAACTACACATAGATCCCAATCTGATCAACTCACACATGTACACACAGACATCACCTGGCATCTCCATCCTTTACACCTCAGTCAGGTCATGTGACAAAACAATGACAAAAACGTCAAATGATACAAATGCAGTTAGACATTTGCGGGATTTGTTTATCCTAACAGTAATGACCAGTGACTAAAGTGTGGACGAAATTGGATTTCAAAAGGGGATTCGTCACTCCTAAGATGGTTCCTTCTTCATGTCAGGCCGGCTGTATATAAATCTGTCACAGAATGCTTTGGGGTTTGAAAAAATTTCAAGTGTTTTGGAACTTTTGGACAATAATTTATTACACGTTTCCTTCAATATAACTGATAAATAAAGGAAGGAAGCAAATGCTGAAAACTTGGCCAGTTGCCACTATTTGCTCCAATGTCCCCTTTTTCCACACACTTTCTGCAAATGCAAAACTTGTACATAAACACACTGCTTCACTTCACATTCTTTGTTAAAGCTGCCTGAAACCACCTTCCAAGCTGTTCCTGGGGTCAACTGTGCAAGTTAACCTCTTGTTGATCTCATCCCTACTTGTTAACCCACCATCACCC